TTCTTGGCACAGCTATGAAGGTATCTGGAAAGCCTTGGCCATAGCTGTGATCCAGGTACAGTGTTATGACAGCCAAACTCCCCCACTGATAGACTCCTCTTTTTGGACCTGAAGTTACTTAAGACTTGTGCACTAAATGAGACCCAAAGTAAAGCTAACCCCCCAGTCTTGGGAGAAGTGCAGAAAGGAAAGTACAGTTCTGCTTCCTAATTCTCCCTCAAGACTGTAATAAACTGTTGACTTGAGCTGATTGTAAAATTATAAGAGTTCTCATGGGATGGGAAACCAAGAGCTTTAGAGATCCATTGAAATGGCTGTATAGATAAGATGTATCACTGAGAGAATGACTATTAAATCCTGTATTAATCTGGTTTGAGCTAGAAGTTTCCAGAAGGTTGAACATGCTCAATGTGAAACTGGAAGGTCATACAACTAATAATGTGCTGTGTGATTTCTGAAAATAGACTGCTTTCCTGGAATTAAATGGGGTCAAAAGGTATACTGTGTGACAGATGGGGCAATTACATATAAAATGCAAAAAAATGGCATCAGCTTAAGCAGTAGTTGATAAGTTTTTGCTGCCATTAGAGGCTTCAGAATAGATACCTAAAATGCAAGCACTGGTAAACTGCATGCATGGGACCTGACTACATTACATATGTATGATACATATTATCTGAATGGTGGAAGATGTAGCATAAATTGTGAATACATCTGGGAAGACTTGCAACCCCAGATAATCTGTTTCTGAACGAGATTTTTATTCATTATCAAGGGAAATGTGAGCGAGAGGACGTGCTTACATTGAGGTGACTTCTTCATTTGTGATAGATGTATGCATGGCATCAAGAATGAATCTGGGAATATGAGATGACTTTACATCCATAGATAAATGAAATGAAGTAATTCTTAAAAGTTTATGGGCACATGGGTCGGTGTTTCAGAATGAAAACTTTTAGAGATGCTTACTGAATTAAAGTTTACAACTGCATTGCACATAGAGATTTTTAGAGAGGAATAAAGTAGCCCACATGAAACCCTGCTTTATTATGGCTATGTTGACTGGCACTAGATTGGAACTGGCTCATATATGCCAGTGTGATTCTGTATCTGTACTATCACACTATATCCTAAAAAACGGAAAAAGAAACATTTTCTGGCAAGCAAAAATCGTTTACAAAAGAGCTTTGACACAGTTTGAGTAAGTAATTGTGCCATGCCTTTTTCACTCTGCAATGAATGGAATTGTAGGACAAATGAAAAGAGGTCACCTGACATTTTATATATATATTATGAAGTCACATCTTTTTCTAGTTGTCATAATAGTAAAGCCTATTAACTTTCTAAACCATGTACATTTATACAAATGTAATCTTTAGTAGAGCTACAATATCTTCAGCATATTTAACATATATAATCAAATGTTCCTGGCCCTGACCATTTACAAAATTATTTCCCATCCCATTAATATTTTGAATTATTGAATATTTTTCTATGGTACTTTTCATCAGCATGAAAAGTGAAACACAAACCCTTGCAAACCAAGAACTCCAGTCAAACCCTAGGTTGATCAGTAGTGATACTCATGGAATTCAGTCTTTAATGCGCTAGATCACCCCTGCTATCTGCCCTGCTCTCTGGTCTACTGCTGGTTCCAGGATTGCTGTTAAGATTTACCATCTATGTTTCATGTAGGATGAATGAGTAAACACTTCTTAGACTGCAGAAGGGCCAATCCTGTAACACAGTGATGATGTTTGTTTGGTGAATGGGAATCCAAAATTGGTGCTCCTGTGATTTTTATATTTATGGGGAAGAAAAATGCCACAACTATGAACAGCCCTAAAAGAAGCCCAAAAGCAAAGGGAAGCACTGGTCTGTAGGACAAGCTGTTGGTGCAGGTTGGGAATTCTCCTGAGCCATGGGAGATTGAGTCACACTCTCATTCTGTCTTCTAGATTAACAATTTGAAGTGCAACCTTAAACTAACCTTAGAAGGATATTTTTTTTTTTTTTTTTTTTTTTTTTCTTTTCTCATGACAGGGAATACCATCTTATTATAGAATTTGCAGGACAAATGAATCAATATTTTTAACAAAAACCCAGATATGTTTGGAAAATTCCAATTTTCCCTCTCTGTATGAGATAATATGTTTTTGGAAGCTTATATTTTCAAAACATTAATACAGTTTTTCTAAACAATGCTCCTGAGTATCTTAAGTGGTTTTGGTGCTACTGCAATAAATCCAACAGTGACCCTTCTGTTCTCCTCAAACAGTTACGTACCAACATTGTTACCCACATGTCTTGTGTCAGGAACAGTGTAGTCAACAGGACTAGAGAAATGATTGTCCCTCTGTACTCAGCAATGGTTCAGTTACCAGTAGACAAATGAAAGATTGTTCCACAACATGTAGGAGAAACAGCATTCCCACTCACATTGTAATTAAATACATTTCACAATTACATTAAGTTGTTCTGAAAATTGGTTGCTCCATGATTTCTTCAAGCTATGAAGCATGCAAAAAGAAATAAAGAATGTTTCAAATATTGCAGATAACTTTATGTCACATACCTGTATTACATGATATTTGTATCTCATCCTATCTAGTAGCATGGTGTGGTGACATTTTCTAAATTCTCATTACACTTGTGTTTTACTTTCTGAAGTAGACTGAACCAGAGTCACTTCAGGAAGCACATTAGAGAGAAAATCTTTGCAATATGTTACTGATACATATATACATTGATGATTGAGGGGGGATAGTAGCTGAAGTAAACCGTTTTGGGACACATCAACTTCTTTCACTCAAAGTGCTTTAAATATGAATTACAGTTTAAATAATTGCACATACAGTTTTTGTCTACAGGCACTATGTATATGGGTTCACATTGATTTTGTTATTTTTAAATTCACAGGAATGATATGTGGTAGTTGATTTTTTATTGGGCATACTATGATCTTTTTTAATCACACAATTAGAAGACAACTTCACTGGGGGAAATAAGATAAAAATTTCTTCTGTTTTGTGCTTTTAGAATTGTGTCTAGGTGTAGTTATTGCCTATGAATAATTATTTCTCAATTTTTTACATGAATCAAAAATAGAGGCACTTTATAGCTGGAGTATTTGGTTTATCTAAATACAAAATTAATTTTATTTGTGTAGCACTTGAGAAAGGATTCAACCTTCATTGGGCTAAAACTAATTTGGAAAAGCATTTTTTCAAAAAGGGCAAAACTTGGATTGTGACTGAGATTTAGATCCTGTATCTAACATTTCTCAAAGAAATTGATAGATTAGAGAACATCTGTATTTCATTGACAGTGATATTTTACCCAGTTAATTATGTACTGAATACATATAATTGAATGCACTCACGTACTACCTACACAATAACTTGTGTAGAACTGCACTGGAGATGCAGGCTTCATGTGGAGATGGAGTTTCAGCCACTGCTTTTCACATTTTGACTCACTAATCACCGTCAGTGCATTTATAACAGCAGTGTTTCCAGAAATTTTCTATAGAATATCTGTATTCTGTTTGTGTCTCATAGACAAGCAAACAAGTGCACAGAACCCCAAACTGTATATATTAACAAATCTTAAGTACTTTAGTAACAATTAACCACATTCTGTCTTAAAGTCATGGATGGAGATTTGCGTGAAACCTTGAATTTTGAAGAACATAAGGACATTTTAAATAGTAGAATGAAATGAAGTAATAAAATAATTATTTTAGCTAAATATGATCTCTGTGACATATTCAGACTTAAACATAAACAAGTTAATAAAGTGTCCTTTTTAAGTATGTCCTGAAAACACACAATTTAGGGGGGAAAAAAAAATGTTAGAGTGGTGACATAGACCATTTTATTTGTTTAGTAGCCATATTTAATTTCTAAACTCAGATATAAATTGAGTTTCTTATTGACCTTTCAGTCTTTATCAAGTAACCTTTTACATTAGAGAGGGCTACTTGCTACAGGAGTAAGCACAGTATAATGAAATGTTAGGTGCCAGAATACCTTAATGTCATTTTTTTTTAATCACAAAGCAGAAGTATTGCCCAAGGAGAGAGTAGAGGGAAACAATGTTTATTTCCTCTTACTCCTGTAAGCACAGGCTATGGCATGTATGGACGTGTGTGTGTGTCTGAGTGTGTGTGCATGTATATACCTCAAAAGTATTTTGGGAAAGAATACTGAATACAAATTAAAATGTATTCTTTACTAAATCTTCTAATAGATAAGTGCAAGTCCTTTATCATGGTAAGTAACTGTTTTCAGTTAATTTATAGGTTTTTCTAAAGAGCATGAAATGTAGTATAATATGAACCAAGCCTACTTTTGGACCAACTTTATGTCTGGGAATAATTCAACTCTGTTTCACCTTTGTTTACAGTCTGTTTTAAATAACTTTTTGCTCATATGGGAAGCAGATTAAATTTTAAGGAGCTCTTTATGGTTTCTCTTGGTCCATTTAAGTTGTGTAAGACTCAGTGATAATTTTATTTGCATTGGTTCCATCTATAATTTAGGTTGTGGCTAATTCTTAATAAATCCTAATGAGGATGAAGAAAATATTAAGTCATTGAAGATAGTGACTGAGGGCATTATTTCTTCAAGGTTACGGAACAGAATTAAATAAATTTCATTTCTTACGTAGCAACAATAATTTGGTAAATTTTTGAATATACTTTTTTTGGTTTATATTATTCTTTTTTAATAGCACATTAATTTTGTTTTTGCAGAAATCACTTTTAACTGAAGTAACTGTCACAGAATACAATACATTTTTTCAAATATTTTCAATTTGTTCTTGACATTTTATGTTTATGTGCAGTTTGCATCTTTTTTGTTTTTCACTTTCAAATGTAACAGATTTTGACATTTTTGTTACATTTTTTTTGTACTAGTGGTTTTTTTTATTTTTGAGAACCTGCTGTTTTTGAATTCTCTTTTTTCCCTTTATTCTCCTCCTCACTATGATCCCAGGAGCCAACACAAAGAAAAGCGCAGATGATATAACCAGTAATGATCGTGGTGAAGATGAAGGTATTTTTTGTTTTTTCAAAGCTCGACCCTGATGCATGAACATAAACTTTTTAATTTTTATTATAATAATTATTGTTATTGTTATTGCTGTTATTTCAACATGATTTTTAGTCCCTTATTTGCAGAAGAACACTTCAGTGTACTTCTTAATTTTCTTCTTTAGAAATTACTTTCATTGTTTTTCTTTTTAAAATCCAAATTAGCATATAGATGACTGTAGTTCCTCTGTGACATAAGTGTAAAAGTTATTCCTAAATATGTGTGAAGTGAGTAACATAAATATTATTTGAAATCACATACTTTTCCCCCCTATTCTTTTTTAGGTTGAAAAAAATTGAATTTAAAAACATGCATGTGCTCTTTTCCCTCCTACACATTTTGTAAATTCACCTGTTTGAAATTCATGAAAAAAACTCATATATATCCTTCCTTTCACTTTCACTGCTTCCCCAGTGCACATGCTGTACATTGATGCAGTTGAACTGTGCTTGGTCTTTGCTATTTTTATTTAGATTTTTTTTTTTTTCTCACAGTATGTGGTTTATTTCAGGACACAAAAATAAGAGAAGCTGTTGATGTTGCTTTATTGTTTTTTCCTGTAATCAGCTAGCCTCTGAGATACATTTGTTCTCACTCTGACCACATTCCCACTGCAATGACAATCATTTTCATTGACTTCTTTCAGAGTTGGATTGGATTCCCTGAAAGGAAATGTTAAAGTTCACAGTGAAGTACTCCAAAAAAAAGTTTTACAAGGAAATACTTTTTTCTTGTCTTGGCACAACAAAGCTTTTTAGGATGCACCAAAATAGAAAGAAGTCATGAAATCTTCCTCTATTCTCACACTTCCTTTTCATTAAAGCTACACTGACAGTTTATTTTATTTCATTATTTATCGATTTCTAAAAAATATTTTCAAATTAATTGAGAAGATAGCAACCTTGGGAAGTTTATTGGTCTGATTTTGGAGCAATGTGTTTCCTAATCCTCTAATGCTGGGCCAATCTGAAGTGTTATTCCATGTCTTTTTTCCTGTTTCCTTCTATCTGACATCAGTTCAAATAACTGAAATATTTGTCCTCTCTTTTCCCCTTAGAATCACACATACTTGCAGAGAGGACACTCCTCTTTTCCTGGGAGTTCAGCTCATTTGTAGCTCCTCTATCCATATATAAAATACTGTAATAAAATTTTCTGCTCTTTGATTCATACTGATTACCCTCTACTGTACCCCCTTTGTTACTGAATTACACTATTTCTTATGATACAAAAATGTTGTGCAGAATACTTCAAAATTACTCTGTTTTTTCCTGAACATCACCTTCCTATTTCTGTGCAACATATACTTTTTAAAATTATATATATTTTTTTAACAAATTCTGTGGTTAAATTTAAAGGAAAAGATAATTAACAAGCAAAACCAAAATTGCTTTAAAACTTAAAATAGATATTGGATTATGAGTACATTATTATTCAGACTTCTTAAAAAATTACAAAATGTTAGATTTTCATGATCAGCAAGGTCATCCACTCTGGATCTAAGTAGATAAAGCATGGAGCTCATTTCCTTTATGTTGAAGCTAATCGTGTTCCCATTGAAGGGGAAGAGGAAACCTCCCATTGACTTCAGCAGTGAAAGATTCAACCCTGAGGTAGAGCTATGTAATAAGGAAAAATTAAATACAACAAATCGTGCCATGAGACTTTGGAGAGAGAAGGGAAAGGTAATTCAGTAACACAAATAATTGTGTTACATAGTTGTTGCTTTCATTTTTGGGGGGCTGATCTGTGCCTTCACAGACGAAACACTTTCATGTACTTTGCCGATAATGCTGAGAATAAAAAAAATATATACCCACTAGAATGCACCTCATTGCTTTATATGATCTGTTTAATGGCTGCATAACTCTTATAGTCCCAACATTTAACAAGATCTTATCACAAAAACTTTTCTTCTGTTGCTCAAGTACAATATAAAATACAACATGTAAAGTACATAGCTTTCTATGTAAAGAAGGCAGATTCTGTGACAAGCCTTAAACTCTGACAATTAGACAGGTGTACATTGGAGCCTGAACATATGTTCCTGGCACTCAGCTGACAGTTTTTGATACTTAGGGTAGCACATACATATGAGTAAAGTGAAAGTGGGCCATAGGAATATGACCAGTCAAAATTTACCTTTAAATATGCTCATATTAGTTCCACATACATCAAATATTATATATGTGGTACCTCATTGCTGATCACATTTTTGGTATCTTAGAGAATTTCCTAACAAACCTGAGGAGAGGGAAGAGTTTTGGAAGGCTTTCAAACCCAGGTTCCCTACCTCCAGGTATTTAGCTCAGCTTTTTCTTCCTGAACTTCCCCTTTCCACTGTTCAATGTCTGACTGTCCTACCCAAAAGAGAACACTGTTTTATTGGGGGTTTTAAAATCCTGATTGAATAGTCAGAGATTCTGCTTTCCCTTGTCTGTTTTACTATATGATTGAAAAAAGTGCTCCTATTCCATGTGCAGATACACTGAATTATTTGCAAAAGGTGTGCATTTCTAACGGCAGCTTCCTGAATTGCCCTCTGCTTTTTAAAGGAGCTTAGCCCCTGTTACCACTGTTTCTGTAGATGACATAAATTCCTAATTTAGATAATCTGGGATCAGGAGCATAACTTTTTGGTTATCAGAGGAAGAGAGATGAATCCACTCCTAAATATACCCCAAATCATTGATTAGTGCATGTGGGGGAGAAGCAGGTTGACACTGGCCTGTCACCTTTCAGTACGCCACAAGTGCATCTTTATAACTCACTCTGAACTATGAAAATATTACTATCAGTTTAATTTAACTTTATTTTAGAAGTAAAGACCCAGCTGCTTACCTGTTTGAAAGCAGTCAAGAGCTTTTCTGAGTATACAAACGGATCAGCCATACCATTAAGATGCATTACGTTAAGGCTGTTCCTTAAGGTTTAGCTAGCATGACAAGGAAAAGTACAATACAAAAGACATCGTTTGATTTAAATGCAAAATATCTGGGCTGTGAATTCACATAAATTCTCTCTGTTTGTTAACTCCTAGGCTATTTGAAAGACAGAATACTTATCTATGTTTATTTCTTCCAGAACAATTTGATTTTGTGGTATTATCTCTTACTGAACTATTTGGAATATAATTTAAACAATTATGCCTCAGTGAGGAATGGGAAAGTATGGATCATTATTGTAATTTTATTATTAGATGTGCAGATATTACTAAATTGGCATCTACTTGAGTCAGAATAGTCTAAAAAAATGACAAGATTATTCCATAATGTGATTTTTCTCTTCAGGCTTTTAGATGTTTATATTCAAATTAAATTCCTTGTAATGTTGAAGGCATTACAGGTGTTCTGAAAATATTTCTGAGGAAATTGTTTTTGAAGTAACCAACAGAAATATTCAAACTATAAATACTAGGCTTGCAGGAAGATCCTAATCTGTGTAAGCTAGCTCATTAAAGTGGTGATGGTCTGGAAAATAAATAAGAACATTCTTAGCACTGTTACAAAATGCTAATATTGTATTTTCTTATTTTTTATTACTTTATTATGTTTTCCTTACTTGAATTTTTTCAGACATTCATGATCAGAACAGCAAGAAGCCCGTTATGGTCTACATCCATGGTGGATCTTACATGGAGGGTACTGGCAATATGATTGATGGCAGCATTCTCGCGAGTTATGGAAATGTCATTGTTGTCACTCTCAATTACAGGCTGGGGGTTTTAGGTAAGTGACTTTTTCCTTCATCACCAATTGCATAGAAATATTTGATTGCTTAATTTATCTACTGATTGATCATATATCCTTGGGCTAGTTTTGTTTTTAAAACAGAACATTTTTACTGGTGGATTCTGAATTCTGTTCAATATTTTATGGAAACTGGGCTAGGCTACATTCTTTTTGACAGCTGCCTTCACCTTTAGACAAAAATGACTGGATATTTATAATGATGTTATTGCTGGTTTATGTTAAATTTGTCATCAGATCATATTTGCTCTTGGCTCAGTGATTTAACAAGTTTTGAGAACTTGTATTGTTAAAAAAAAAAAAAAAAAAAAAAGAGAAAATTAATGAAGAATGAGTACTCACCAGTTTCAAACCAGTTGGTAATAGTAGGAAGAGGGAAAATGTTAGTATATATATGTGTTTATTATTTACATGTGCAAATTGTTTTTTAGGGCAGAAGATCTAGAGGTAATACAGAAAAAAATAGGCTATATACACTAATGGAATTTATGTTGCAGCTAAATGAAGTCAAGGGATTTCAAGGACTAATGTAAAATTATCTTCCTAAATATAAGGAACTCCATAAGCATGAATGATAATATTGAGCAAAATTAATACTTATGTCTTTCAAACTGAACAAGAGCTGCATCTTATTGACATTATGAATATTCCTCTGTCAGCATTAGATTGGATAACAAAATAACCTCTAGATCCATGACAACAGACCAAAAATCTTTTCTGGCTTATCTGTGATTCCAGCTCCTGGATGTTTGCATGTACCAGGCTTTTCTCGAAATGAAGGTTAAGTTATTGAAGTTCTAATTTCCATAGGAAACTAAGCTAAAAGTTTGCTCATAGTAGCAGAGATTAGAAATATTTTTTACCTTAATGAATAAACAAATATTTTTTATAGAATACCATATAGACTGCTCAAATGCTCATATTTCCAGTATTTTAAATACACAAGGTAAGGTAATTTTGTTTGGGTGATTTTCAATTTAGAATGTCTTTTAAAAAGATTTTTAGTCTTGTTTTCCTTGATAGCAAAGCTGATCTATATTCTTGGCATGTACTATTCTGGAACATAGGCAACTTCTTTAACTGTCTGTTAATGGTGTTAATGTGTTCTAGCAATGTTCTAGCTCATCAGAGTACTGAGAATTTCTTTCTTGTCCCTGATTTTGGCTCTTGTTTAAATACAGAAGAGCATTTTTTCTATGATAGAGTCAGATTTAAACAGAAAGCCAGGAATATAAAAAGATATTTTGGTATATTTATGTATGCAATCTTGGCACTCAGAAACACCCCCCAAAAAGGAAAGTAAAATTATACGTAAAGAACTCAAGACTCTTTAAAGAAAAAGAATTGTTGTCAAAGTGTATTTTTGACTTGCTTCATAAGTAAAAAAAATGAAACAGAAAACAAATTTCTTCAGGTAAATAACCATATGGAAAACATGATTATTCTTGAAAGTTAAAAAAGTAGTATAATTATTATGACATACCATTTGAAGACTGACAGTATTCATATCCATTTCTTCTAGTTTGTATTACTTTATTTTTGAAAGATACATTTATTTCTGTAAATCTGGTGTGTTTCAGTTCCATTTGATTTGTAAATTTATACCTGAGTATTCATACAAATGTAATTTTAATGACAGAGATATGTAATTCTATTTCTATTATCACATACTTTGATGGAAGAATATGCATTGAATTGATGGCAATTAAGAGTTACTGAAGACCCTTTATCTATCTATCTATCTATCTATCTATCTATCTATCTATCTATCTTTCCTTCCTCTGGAAAATTATCACTTGAATGGACCTGAATACCGGATGTTATACGTACCATAAATGCCATTTCTGTTCCTGAAGCACATGAAATTATTTTCCTTTCAGTCTACATGGCATCATGCACAGCAGTAGCTAGAAAATCTATTAGGACTTCATAGTTAATCACTGGATGGTATTAGCCAGACAAATCATGAATCATAGATTCATAGAATGGTTTGAGTTAGAAGGGACCTTAAAGATCATCTATTTCCAACTCCCCCCCACACACACACACACACATGGGCAGGGACATTTTCCACCAGACCAGGTTGCTCAAAGCCCCATCCAACCTGGCCTTGAACACTGCCAGGGAGAGGACACCCACAACTTCTCTGGGCAACCTGTGCCAGTGTCTCACCACCCTCATCATAAACAATTGTTTCCTTCTATACAATCTAAATCCACCCTCTTTCAGTTTAAAACTGGTGTCCCTTGTCCTGTCACTACAGGCCTGGGTAAAAAGTCTTTCTCCTTCTTTCTTATAAGTCCCCTTTATATATTGAAAGATCATCATAAGATCTCCCAGAACCTTTCTCTTCCCCAGTGAACAACCCCAACTCAGCCTTTCTTCATAATAGAAGTGTTCTTCTGATCATTTTTGTGACCTTTGTCTGAACTCACTCTAACAGGTCCATGTCTTTCTTATACTGGGGACCGCAGAACTGGATGCTGTACTCCAGATGAGGTCTCACCAGAGCAGAGGGGCAGAATCACCTCCCTGGACCTGCTGGCTATACTTCTCTTGATGTAGCTCAGGATACAATTGGCTTTCTGAGCTGTGAGTGCACATTGATGGCTCATGTCCAATCCTTTCATCCACCCATATCCCCAAGCCCGTCTCTGCAGGGCTGCTCTCAATCCACCAGGTAGGTGCAGGACCTTGCACTTGGCCTTGTTGAACTCCTCAAGGCTGTCAAGGTACCTCTGGATGGCATCCTTTCCTTCTAGCACATCAAGTGCACTACTTATCTTTGTGTCGTTCAGACTTGCTGAGTGTGCACTCAGTCCCACTGTGTCAGTAATGAAGATTTTAAATAGTATTGATCCTAGTATGGCCACTAGTTACTGGTTTCCACTTGGACATTGAGCCACTGACAGTAACTCTTGAGGACGTGGCCATTCCAGCCAGTTCCTTATTGATCTAACAGTTCATCCATCAAACTCATCTTTCCAATTAAGTGGAAAGAATGTTCTAGGAGACTGTATCAAATGCCTTAAAAACATCCAGGCAGCTAACATCGATTGCTCTTTCCTTGTCTACTGATGCAGTCACTTCATCGAAGACCACCAGATTAGCCAGGCATGATTTGCCCTTAATGAAGATGTCTCTAATCACCTTTCTGTTTTCCACATGCTTCAATATAACTTCCATGAGGTCCTATTCCATGATCTTACTGTTTCCCTCAAGAATCTGGGATGCATCTTATTGGGTCCCATGGACTTGTGATTCTTCAGGTTCCTCAGGTGGTCTCAAACCTGATCTCTCCTACAATAGGAAGGACTTCATTCTCCCAATTTCTGCCTTGAGGTTCAGAGATTTGACAGATGTGGGAAGAGAGATTACCAATGAAAACTGAAGGGTAAAAAATTTTTTAGTATCTCAGCCTTCTCCATGTCGGTTTTCACTAGTTCTCCTGTCTTATTTACTGAGGGAGTACATCTTCCTTTTCTGAGCAATGTACCTGCAGAAATCCTTCTTACCATTCTTCACATTCCTTGACAAAATTCATTTCCAACTGCGCATTAGCTTTTCTGATCCCATTCCTACACACCTGGCAGCATCCTTATGTTATTCCCAGGGCACATGTCCCTGATTCCACTGCCTGTGCATTTGCTTCTTACACTTTAGTTTGACCAGGAGATCATTACTGAGCCATGACAGTCTCCTGCCTTCCTTGCCTGATTGTTTTACACATGAGAATCAAGAGCTGTTGCGCTAAGTAAAATGAACCTTAAAGAGCTGCCATCTCTTTTCTACTCTTTTATCCCTGAGGGTAGTTTCCCAAGGGCTCCCATCGACTAATTCCTTAAACAACTGAAAGTTTGCTCTCCTAAAAGTCAGCATCCTGACCCTACTCTTCACCTGGCCTTTATCCCTCAAGAGTGTGATTTCCATCAGGATATGAATGCAGCCCAGACTGCCACCACTCTTGACGGCTCTTATTAGTTTATCTGATTGATGAGCAACAAGTCTAGTAATGCATCTTCTCTGGTTGGGCTGTCTATCACCTGGATTAAGAAATTATCCTTGCACTCTTGAGAGTCTCCTGGGCTGCTTACAGCTTGCTGTGCTGTGCTGCTTTTCCAGCAGATGTCAGGGTGATTAAAACTCCTCATCAGGATCAGAGCCTTTGAGAATGGTACTTCCTGTATTGAAGTAGGAATGCTTCATCGATATCTTCCCCTTGATTGGGTGGCCTGTAGTAAACACCAGCCATAAGGTTTACTTTGTTGACTTGGCCTCTAATTTTCACCCATAAGCTCTCAGTCTGTTCATTGCTGTTTTTCAAATATGTGTGCAGTCAATCTGGTTTTTTATACAGAGGGTAACCCCTCACCACCACCTCTTGTTCCTTGCCTGTACCTTCTGAACAGTTTATAGCCTTTGATTGCAGTGCTCCAGCCATGTGATTTATCTCACCAGTTTTCAGTGACAGTGATTAGATTGTAGCTTTCTACTGCACAGTGGCTTCCAGCTCCTTCTGTTTTTTACTCATGCTGCATGCATTGGTATAGAGACACTTCAGCTGGGCTATCAGCTATGTCACTTTTTTGAGGAAAATGCCCTAATTCCTTTGGGATATTTCATAGGTATTTCCCTGTTGGTTCCTAATATATCAGCAGCCCGCAGCTCTTCTCTGTTACACCAGACTCCATCCCCTTCACCTGCTAAATCTACTGCAAAACTCTCCCTGTAAGTCTGCCCATCTTGTTGGTGAAAAGGCTCTTGCCTCACTTGGTCAGAAGAATTCTGCAGAGCAGGCAGCAGCCCTCTCACTGGCAGAGTTGGCAGCACTACCTGCCCACCCTGCCTTCATGAGCTGCCACACAAACTGCCAGTGCTGCTCCCAGCCAACACTGTCCCTGTTTGTACAGCCTGTTCACAGTGATCCTGGTAGCTGCCATTCCCCACTGGCTGGTTTTATGTGGCTTCCAGTACTTTGAACTGGCTCCAGGGTTCACTGTCACTGTCCCACTCTTGCAGGCCCCTTTTGCAAGACCTGTCTCTTGCTGGATGGTACCTTCCCAGTCAGCAGCCCAAGGGTGCTGGGAACTCAGAAACCACCGAAGACATCCCCTGGGGACATGATAACCCTCACACTGCTCTCCGCAAGAGGCAACTGATGCTGCTGTTGCTACCATCAGCTTCCTGAGGTTTAAACTGTGGGAACAAATCCCAGTTTGAGACCCTAGGAACAAATCAGTAACAATAATTACATACGTTTAAGAAAGCCTGGATTTTGGAAATGCACCTTCATAGATGAGGGAAAATGAAAATTGTTAGGGAACACTTCTTTTGCCTTAGTATCCTTCACTGAGTTTGGCCTCAAGCAATATCAATACAGCCATGGAATATTTGTCAAGGTAATAGAATATAAACTATATGAGTTTCTTTTACTGCCTTCTGATATAATTTTAATTATATTTAATGGAATCTGTGGTCATCTTATAACTTAGTAAAAGTCTTACAATATGAAAAGACCTGTTTTTAACACACAACATTGCACCCTTTGAATTTTAAAACCAGGTTTTAGGAGGCACCATAAAGACAAAGTTTCTCCATCTTTTATGGGCTGTTTGCCAATTGGCTGTAACTGAGATACTGAAAATTCTGGCCTCAAGTTAGCCAGAAAGTAGGCATCCTAGACAGAAAAAAGGATTTACTTGAGGCAGTTGTAACGTGGGAATCTTGAGGGCTATAAAACATTTTAAATGGGTGGTAGAGACAGATATCTTCATCTCTATCTTTTCTTCTTTCATCTGGCTAAAATAGAAGCCTTTAGACTGTGTACTGAAAAATAATTATCTGTAACTCCAGAATACGGAAGAACCATGTTTCCTCTCTGTCTTGAAAGTCTGCAGAGCCACTCTGGGAATAAGTACCTCATCTCTCTCTCTCTCTGTGTTCAAGTAGCACCATGGAAAACAGGAGACAACTGGGCCCAAGACTTCCCAACATTTTTATTATCTTTCTCTATCCTCTGAATAAAGTACTGGAATTACTCTTCCTGAGATTGCTAGACCCCCAAGCA